ACTATATAGAGATTGATGTCCAGTAATCTATAGAGATTGATGTCCAGTAAACTATATAGAGATTGATGTCCAGTAATCTATATAGAGATTGATGTCCAGTAATCTATGTAGAGATTGATGTCCAGTAATCTATAGAGATTGATGTCCAGTAAACTATATAGAGATTGATGTCCAGTAATCTATGTAGAGATTGATGTCCAGTAATCTATATAGAGATTGATGTCCAATAATCTATAGAGATTGATGTCCAGTAAACTATATAGAGATTGATGTCCAGTAATCTATAGAGATTGATGTCCAGTAATCTATAGAGATTGATGTCCAGTAAACTATATAGATATTGATGTCCAGTAAACTATATAGAGATTGATGTCCAGTAATCTATGTAGAGATTGATGTCCAGTAATCTATAGAGATTGATGTCCAGTAAACTATATAGAGATTGATGTCCAGTAATCTATATAGAGATTGATGTCCAGTAATCTATAGAGATTGATGTCCAGTAAACTATATAGATATTGATGTCCAGTAAACTATATAGAGATTGATGTCCAGTAATCTATAGAGATTGATGTCCAGTAAACTATATAGATATTGATGTCCAGTAAACTATATAGAGATTGATGTCCAGTAAACTATGTAGAGATTGATGTCCAGTAAACTATATAGAGATTGATGTCCAATAATCTATAGAGATTGATGGCCAGTAAACTATATAGAGATTGATGTCCAGTAAACTATATAGAGATTGATGTCCAGTAATCTTTAGAGATTGATGTCCAGTAATCTATATAGAGATTGATGTCCAGTAAACTATATAGAGATTGATGTCCAGTAAACTATATAGTGATTGATGTCCAGTAAACTATATAGAGATTGATGTCCAGTAAACTATGTAGAGATTGATGTCCAGTAAACTATATCGAGATTGATGTCCAGTAATCTATATAGAGATTGATGTCCAGTAAACTATATAGAGATTGATGTCCAGTAATCTTTAGAGATTGATGTCCAGTAAACTGTATAAATATAGATGCTGATAAGTTTTCTTGCAAATGTATTAATAATACGAAAATACAATATAACCTATAGTATTCTCAAAGTCATTTATATTGGCTATGATAATGTCAATCTGGTGTTAGTATATACTTGTATGCTATCTACAGGAATGGTTCTATACTGGTAATTGACAAATACATTATCTAAAGCATTCTTGTGTGATCTTGTACATACCATGAGCAAGGCTCTGCCTTACAAAATGATGGGCTCTCTTTCAGTTTGACGGAAATTAAAGATATCTTTAGTTTTCACTTGAGACATAGATGTCGGTTTGAAATGTTGTCTTTGTTGTTCCAATCTTTATGATTGAATGTATCTTTAAAGTAACCACAATTTTGTTTCCTTCGAAGAGAAATATAATCCTATCAAAGGACTGTCTAGGGAAGTTATACATGTCTATTTGGACGCTTCATTTCCCTGATCGCAATATATCAAAACTCAATGTTTGATGGGATTCTACAGAAGACCTAAGATTGGATGGGAATTCTTATTGAAAGCTAGTCCTGAAGGTTGCACTTGAGACAAATATGGCGTGTCTGGGCAATGATTGTTTAATGTATTCTATAGTTAACCTTAAAATACAGAGTTTATCTCAATCTGTGAAACCTATAGCCACTTTGTCTGCTCAACATTGGTGTTCTTTGCCTGATTCATTTTTAAATAATTTTGAAGTATACACATTGTGTGGAGCTCTTGAAGTTTGATACTATATAGAAATAACCAATCATTATTTCAGTTTAATTTCTAACTTCCATTTTTCAGCGATGCTATTTCTTTTTTTATTGAGTTATATAGTTGTATTTATTGAGTGAGTTATGTTGTAAGTGATGACATAAATCAAATAAGTGAGACAGATTACTTATGTTTTTTGCTCACCTGGTCCAAGGAACCGGCAAAGTGCAGCATGCGTCATTCGTCAACTTTTAATGAATTGTTTTTTTTTAAGCATCTTTCAGGGAAGGAAACCAGTTTTGTATGAACTGTGAGCCTGGGTCGTCAAGGGCTAAAGGGTGGGGCCCAATAGGGGAAAATTGTAGTATTATTCAAAATCCAGCTTTTTCTGTAAGAATGACAAGAATTGTCTGAATACTGTTTTTGTGTTCATGAAGGGTATGAATTCCCCTTTCAAGTATTTTGAACCAGATTACTAAGTATAGTTGTATCCATGAAGTACCACATTTTGACTAGGTTATTTATACTAGTGGTATGATGCACAAGGTCACAACTTTAAGGGATGTACTAGGTTGTAATGGTTGTAGGACATATAGACTAAACTGTTGTAGGCTGCACTATGTCATACTGTTAAGGGCTGTACTAGGTTATACTGGTTGTAGACTATAATAGGTTACTGTGGTTGTAGGCTATACTAGGTTACTGTGGTTGTAGGCTATACTAGGTTACTGTGGTTGGAGACTATACTAGGTTACTGTGGTTGGAGACTATACCAGGTTACTGTGGTTGTAGGCTATACTAGGTTACTGTGGTTGTAGGCTATACTAGGTTACTGTGGTTGGAGACTATACTAGGTTGTAGGCTATACTAGGTTACTGCTATACTAGGTTACTGTGGTTGTAGGTTATGTTAGGTGATACTGTTTGTAGGCTATACTAGGTTACTGTGGTTGGAGACTATACTAGGTTACTGTGGTTGTAGGCTATACTAGGTTACTGTGGTTGTAGGCTATACTAGGTTACTGTGGTTGTAGGCTATACTAGGTTACTGTGGTTGGAGGCTATACTAGGTTACTGTGGTTGGAGACTATACTAGGTTACTGTGGTTGGAGACTATACTAGGTTACTGTGGTTGAAGGCTATACTAGGTTACTGTGGTTGTAGGCTATACTAGGTTACTGTGGTTGTAGGCTATACTAGGTTACTGTGGTTGTAGGCTATAGTAGGTTACTGTGGTTGGAGACTATACTAGGTTACTGTGGTTGTAGGCTATACTAGGTTACTGTGGTTGTAGGCTATACTAGGTTACTGTGGTTGTAGGTTATGTTAGGTGATACTGTTTGTTGGCTATACTAGGTTACTGTGGTTGTAGGCTATACTAGGTTACTGTGGTTGGAGACTATACTAGGTTACTGTGATTGTAGGCTATACTAGGTTACTGTGGTTGGAGACTATACTAGGTTACTGTGGTTGTAGGCTATACTAGGTTACTGTGGTTGGAGACTATACTAGGTTACTGTGGATGGAGACTATACTAGGTTACTGTGGTTAGAGACTATACTAGGTTACTGTGGTTGGAGACTATACTAGGTTACTGTGGTTGTAGGCTATACTAGGTTACTGTGGTTGGAGACTATACTAGGTTACTGTGGTTGTAGGCTATAGTAGGTTACTGTGGTTGTAGGCTATACTAGGTTACTGTGGTTGTAGGCTATACTAGGTTACTGTGGTTGTAGGTTATGTTAGGTGATACTGTTTGTAGGCTATACTAGGTTACTGTGGTTGGAGACTATACTAGGTTACTGTGGTTGTAGGCTATACTAGGTTACTGTGGTTGTAGGCTATACTAGGTTACTGTGGTTGTAGGCTATACTAGGTTACTGTGGTTGGAGGCTATACTAGGTTACTGTGGTTGGAGACTATACTAGGTTACTGTGGTTGGAGACTATACTAGGTTACTGTGGTTGAAGGCTATACTAGGTTACTGTGGTTGTAGGCTATACTAGGTTACTGTGGTTGTAGGCTATACTAGGTTACTGTGGTTGTAGGCTATAGTAGGTTACTGTGGTTGGAGACTATACTAGGTTACTGTGGTTGTAGGCTATACTAGGTTACTGTGGTTGTAGGCTATACTAGGTTACTGTGGTTGTAGGCTATACTAGGTTACTGTGGTTGTAGGTTATGTTAGGTGATACTGTTTGTTGGCTATACTAGGTTACTGTGGTTGTAGGCTATACTAGGTTACTGTGGTTGGAGACTATACTAGGTTACTGTGATTGTAGGCTATACTAGGTTACTGTGGTTGGAGACTATACTAGGTTACTGTGGTTGTAGGCTATACTAGGTTACTGTGGTTGGAGACTATACTAGGTTACTGTGGATGGAGACTATACTAGGTTACTGTGGTTAGAGACTATACTAGGTTACTGTGGTTGGAGACTATACTAGGTTACTGTGGTTGTAGGCTATACTAGGTTACTGTGGTTGGAGACTATACTAGGTTACTGTGGTTGTAGGCTATAGTAGGTTACTGTGGTTGTAGGCTATACTAGGTTACTGTGGTTGGAGACTATACTAGGTTACTGTGGTTGGAGGCTATACTAGGTTACTGTGGTTGGGGACTATACTAGGTTACTGTGGTTGTAGGCTATACTAGGTTACTGTGGTTGGAGACTATACTAGGTTACTGTGGTTGGAGACTATACTAGGTTACTGTGGATGGAGACTATACTAGGTTACTGTGGTTGGAGACTATACTAGGTTACTGTGGTTGTAGGCTATACTAGGTTACTGTGGTTGTAGGCTATACTAGGTTACTGTGATTGTAGGCTATACTAGGTTACTGTGGTTGTAGGCTATACTAGGTTACTGTGGTTGGAGGCTATACTAGGTTACTGTGGTTGGAGGCTATACTAGGTTACTGTGGTTGTAGGTTATGTTAGGTGATACTTTGGTTGTAGGATATACTTGGTAACTTTGGTTGAAAGATTTGCTAGGTTATACTGGTTGTAGGCTACATAAGGTTTTAGTTGTTTAAGGCTGTACTACCTGATAAGCCTCAGTATCACTGCCTGTGCTCTGAGACTGCTGACAACTGGTACCTGAGTCCCTGCAGGTCTCCTAATGTATGCTGGTACAGCCTACGTAGACATTGGAATCTCAGTGTACTGCTACCATCATATACTTACACGTGCATGTCTTGTATAGATTTTTTCCCCAGTATAGGCTGAAGGGTGTTCAAATATTGACTTGGACATTTTTGTGTTCCAGTGTTCGTGTACATCACCATCTTGGACAGCCTGTCGGGCCGCACGCCTGTCTGCCACGCACCCCTCACTGTTAGACCGCGGCAGGTCGAGGTGACCTTCGAAGCCGTCCCATCGCTTACGGATATCATGTAAGTACCAGCATTAGTATCTATCTGCTATTGGTGTCAGCATTGCCGATCGTTTCCTTCTATGGCAGAACACACCAATCTTTCTCTTTCTGGTGGTAACACACTCTAATTGTCTGATATCCAAAACACAATGTGCCAACAGTGAACTTGCACTGAGTTACCATTTTCAAAGCAAAAATTTAAAATCAAATTTTGCTCTGATTTTCTGTTTATTGAATTTGATGAGTGAAGGAAATATCTACTGTTAATCAAGAAATATTTTTCAGGAAGTATACATTCTAAAAATCATGCATTATATTTCTTAAAATGAAGAAAAGAAAATTAATGCAGCCATATATATAAATTTGTATTTTTCCGGAAAAAATCGAAGTCTGATATTTTTCTTATCTTTTATATTAAGGGAAAAACATTTATTCAAAATTATTTTTCAGTTGTGATCAGTATGTTTATATGGCAATGTTCTAAAGAAGATGTTTACTTATTATGAAAGATTGAAGTGTACATAATGTGTTATGTAAACTGTTCTGATAAATATGAAGGTTATGTTTTTTTTTTGGACATAGAGGAATGACATCATTAATTGCAGGGCACATAGAGGAATGACATCATTAATTGCAGGGCACATAGAGGAATGACATCATTAATTGCAGGGCACATAGAGGAATGACATCATTAATTTTATCTTCAAAATTTATGATATACTGAATATGTTTATTGGAGCTGCTCTAGCTCACATTTATATTATGTATGGAAGATTTTAGAAGAAATATTCTAAATCTAAAAAATTTGGAAAGTTGTTCAGATTTATAGGATAATAATCTGCTGCTGAGTTTTTTACATCAGCATACAAACTTTTCAAAATTATGAAATATATTAATGATGTTTTCTATCAAATAATTTTATTGTAATATTTAACTTGAACCTGTTAGTATATAAAGCATATGTTATCATTGGTTTAGAAAAAAAAGACACTGTATGAGCATGAAACCTCCATGATTTTACACCATGTATTTTGTGTAGGTTGTCTGAGATATGAAGCTGCATATAAAACATTAAAATCTTCATTAATAAATAGCCTAATTCAATAACTGATTTTATTGCATATGTTGCCTATTTTATGATTAATGATTGAATAATACATGGTTGCTTGGTAACATGACAGCACCAATCAGATGATGGGCTGCTGGTCTTTGTTGGTAAAGACAACGTAATATTGAAATTTGAACACTTTTCTTAATTAGTACTCATTTAAATATTACATAAAGGATCTCAAAATATTTTGTATTTAAGTTGTCTGGTAAACTCTGTATAAATTTGCAGTAGATGTATTGAATCGCACTTTTAATCAAGAAAAGTATGGATTTGTGTAAGTTTTACAATTTCATAATAGACTTTATTGGGAAGGTTAAATGAAGGTTTCCTCAAAACTTGGCCGACAGCAGGACTCAATTGTTTGTGGTAAAAAGTCAATATTAGGACTAGCTCACTGTAACAGAGTCGGAGATGGGCTAATGTTTGTAAGGTAACATTCAAATTCTCTCTGAACCAATTGCCAACCAAGAAATTGATAGATGTTGTCAAGTACTAGTTTATAACTAGATCTTTATGACAGGTTTTTTGAGATGAGCAGGATGTTTTATGTCAGAAACATAGGTTAGTGGATTTTAAATATGGAGTTATGTTTCAACCAACTGTTCTTTGAAACATTAGTTTCGACAACAGTGGAGATTTTCGATACTGTCATTAGACTGAAGTTGTCATATATAGCACAACCAGTAAGAAATCTAGGCATGAACTTAGCTTTAATTTTATATAAAATTGGGAAGGATATGTTGGAAATAGGTTGTCCATCTGTCAAGCCATTCATCTGTCTGCAGTTGCAGCGATAAACTAACTACTCCTCCTGAACTGTTGAATTGATTCCAATGATACTTGATAGCTATAATCCTTACAATTAGAGTGGATTTTAACACGACATATTGGCATGAGGTGGCCCAAAGACGACAGTTCTAGTCTGGACATGCTTCAAGAACCAAACTGTAGTTCTGAAAATATGTTATATGTAAGAAGAGTTTGAAGGAAAAAGTTGATTAAGGAAAAATTTGTGACCAAAATGCCAGCTCTTTACAGAAACATCATAGTTGACTTAGTGGCCAATTCTGTCATTACATAACACAGTAGTGGGGATGTATATCCATATAGACGATACTTTGGTCCTTTTTGCTCTGCTATGTTATTGAAGAATTTTCCTTTCATTCTTTCTTGTCTGTCCTTAGTATTGAAGAGTTCTCCCTTGGTTCTTTCTTGTCTGTCCTTGATATTGAAGAGTTCTCCCTTGGTTCTTTCTTGTCTGTCCTTGATATTGAAGAGTTCTCCCTTGGTTCTTTCTTGTCTGTCCTTGGTATTGAAGAGTTCTCCCTTGGTTCTTTCTTGCTCCTGCTGTGTTATAGGGGAGTCTTGTGTACTTGCTGTTCCTGCTGTGTAATTGAGGAGTCTTGTGTCCTTGCTGCTCCTGCTGTGATATTGAGGAGTCTTGTGTCCTGACTGCTTCTGCTGTGATATTGAGGAGTCTTGTGTCCTTGCTGCTTCTGCTGTGTTATTGAGTCTTGTGTCCTGACTGCTTCTGCTGTGTTATTGAGAAGTCTTGTGTCCTGACTGCTTCTGCTGTGTTATTGAGGAGTCTTGTGTCCTGACTGCTTCTGCTGTGTTATTGAGTCTTGTGTCCTGACTGCTTCTGCTGTGTTATTGAGAAGTCTTGTGTCCTGACTGCTTCTGCTGTGTTATTGAGGAGTCTTGTGTCCTGACTGCTTCTGCTGTGTAATTGAGGAGTCTTGTGTCCTTGCTGCTTCTGCTGTGTTATTGAGAAGTCTTGTGTCCTGACTGCTTCTGCTGTGTTATTGAGGAGTCTTGTGTCCTGACTGCTTCTGCTGTGATATTGAGGAGTCTTGTGTCCTTGCTGCTCCTGCTGTGTTATTGAGGAGTCTTGTGTCCTTGCTGCTCCTGCTGTGTTATTGAGGACTCTTGTGTCCTTGCTGCTCCTGCTGTGTTATTGAGGAGTCTTGTGTCCTGACTGCTTCCGCTGTGATATTGAGGAGTCTTGTGTCCTTGCTGCTCCTGCTGTGTTATTGAGGAGTTTTGTGTCCTTGTTGTTCCTGCTGTGATATTGAGGAGTCTTGTGTCTTTGCTGTTCCTGCTGTGTTATTGAGGAGTCTTGTGTCCTGACTGCTTCTGCTGTGTAATTGAGGAGTCTTGTGTCCTTGCTGCTTCTGCTGTGTTATTGAGAAGTCTTGTGTCCTGACTGCTTCTGCTGTGTTATTGAGGAGTCTTGTGTCCTGACTGCTTCTGCTGTGTAATTGAGGAGTCTTGTGACCTTGTTGTTCCTGCTGTGATATTGAGGAGTCTTGTGTCCTGACTGCTTCTGCTGTGTTATTGAGGAGTCTTGTGTCCTGACTGCTTCTGCTGTGTTATTGAGGAGTCTTGTGTCCTGACTGCCTCTGCTGTGATATTGAGGAGTCTTGTGTCCTTGTTGCTCCTGCTGTGATATTGAGGAGTCTTGTGACCTTGTTGTTCCTGCTGTGATATTGAGGAGTCTTGTGTCCTGACTGCTTCTGCTGTGATATTGAGGAGTCTTGTGTCCTTGTTGCTCCTGCTGTGTTATTGAGGAGTCTTGTGTCCTGACTGCTTCTGCTGTGATATTGAGGAGTCTTGTGTCCTTGCTGCTTCTGCTGTGTTATTGAGAACTCTTGTGTCCTGACTGCTTCTGCTGTGTTATTGAGGAGTCTTGTGTCCTGACTGCTTCTGCTGTGCAATTGAGGAGTCTTGTGACCTTGTTGTTCCTGCTGTGATATTGAGGAGTCTTGTGTCCTGACTGCTTCTGCTGTGTAATTGAGGAGTCTTGTGACCTTGTTGTTCCTGCTGTGTAATTGAGGAGTCTTGTGTCCTTGCTGCTCCTGCTGTGTTATTGAGGAGTCTTGTGTCCTTGTTGTTCCTGCTGTGATATTGAGGAGTCTTGTGTCCTTGCTGCTCCTGCTGTGTTATTGAGGAGTCTTGTGTCCTGACTGCTTCTGCTGTGATATTGAGGAGTCTTGTGTCCTCGTTGCTCCTGCTGTGTTATTGAGGAGTCTTGTGTCCTGACTGCTTCTGCTGTGATATTGAGGAGTCTTGTGTCCTGACTGCTTCTGCTGTGTTATTGAGTCTTGTGTCCTGACTGCTTCTGCTGTGTTATTGAGGAGTCTTGTGTCCTGACTGCTTCTGCTGTGTTATTGAGTCTTGTGTCCTGACTGCTTCTGCTGTGTAATTGAGGAGTCTTGTGTCCTGACTGCTTCTGCTGTGATATTGAGGAGTCTTGTGTCCTTGCTGCTCCTGCTGTGTTATTGAGGAGTCTTGTGTCCTTGCTGCTCCTGCTGTGTTATTGAGGACTCTTGTGTCCTTGCTGCTCCTGCTGTGTTATTGAGGAGTCTTGTGTCCTGACTGCTTCCGCTGTGATATTGAGGAGTCTTGTGTCCTTGCTGCTCCTGCTGTGTTATTGAGGAGTTTTGTGTCCTTGTTGTTCCTGCTGTGATATTGAGGAGTCTTGTGTCTTTGCTGTTCCTGCTGTGTTATTGAGGACTCTTGTGTCCTTGCTGCTCCTGCTGTGTTATTGAGGAGTCTTGTGTCCTGACTGCTTCTGCTGTGATATTGAGGAGTCTTGTGTCCTTGTTGCTCCTGCTGTGTTATTGAGGAGTCTTGTGTCCTGACTGCTTCTGCTGTGATATTGAGGAGTCTTGTGTCCTGACTGCCTCTGCTGTGTTATTGAGAAGTCTTGTGTCCTTGCTGCTCCTGCTGTGATATGGAGTAGTCTGGTGTCCTGACTGATTCTGTTGTGTTATTGAGGAGTCTTGTGTCCTGACTGCTTCTACTGTGATATTGAGGAGTCTTGTGTCCTGACTGCTCCTGCTGTGTTATTGAGGAGTCTTGTGTCCTTGCTGCTCCTGCTGTGTTATTGAGGAGTCTTGTGTCCT